GCGTGCCTGACACAATTGACACCTTTGTAATTGACACAGCACTGTAACCCATATGTTATATTAAATGAGAGATTCCTTATATGCATATTTATGTGACAATATGTGACAAATTAATTTAAACATTATATAAAAAACAGATATTTTTTTATATAAGCCTCGACACGGAAACGGTTTATTTTTTCACAGACCATTTACATCAGATTTGAATGAGCTTTGTGTTGCTTATGAACAGTTAGCGATATGCAGGAAATTAATTAATTTTATTTTTTGTTGGTGTTGTTGAACACCAATCAGGACTTATGAGATGATACCTTTCTAAATACTTGGCTTTTTAACAGGCAACCCAATGGTTGGCTTATCTATATTTGATATATTTTATTATTATAATTTATGTGAAGATTTTTAATTCGATGCAATACTGCTAGAAGACTAACTTCACATGGCAGCTATATTTTCAAGTGGAGTGAAAACCGATATCAGCATTGTTTGATATCATGATGTTCGAGGGCTTATAAAATCTTCAACCTTGGGTTTCAGTTTTCATCAACTTTACACTGTTTTGCAAATTACAAAGAAACGGCTCGGCCGATCATCGCGAGATACATCGGCTTTTAAATCTTTGAAATCGGTTCAGACGTTTTTCAGCAAACGTCGATGAAAGATCCAATTTTGACAAACGCCAAAAAAGTGCTTCTAAATTTTTTAAACTTTGACGAATTTCTAAAATTAGACGATTTGCCGTAGGACCTTAATATTTGGTATGTTCTATATAAAACATCATGATCTCACGCCAAACAAAAAAAAATCAGGAAAATCGATGAATTTTTTTTTTTCAGCAGTTGATTACAAAAAATTGTGCCAGCAAATCTTTACCAATATCTTTCGAACGGTTTTTGAATTTTTAAAATCAATCCAAAACTGCGGACTAAAACGTGTAACAAATTTTTTGTTAAGGGCAATGCAAGTTAGCAATAGTCTCGTCAGAAAAAATTGCAATTGAAAAGTATTAGGTATCTACACTGCTAGTGACCACAATGCAATTATCTGGGAGATATCAATGAATAGGAAAATTAGAAGACATGTTGGCATAAATCAAAGACAATCTGTGCACTGGTGGAAGCTTGTCATCGCGTTGAAAATAGTAAGGCACCAGGATTAGATGGAATTCCCAATATCGAATTAAAAACATCCATTATGACATTTCCGATAATGTTTCTTATATCTAAAAGAAGGGGTTTCCCACGGAAATGAAAATAGCAAAGATTAGTGCTTGTTCCCAAAAGAAGAAAACCACCAGATGAACCATCATCCTGCCGTCCGATATGCATGCTGGATACAGCAGGTAAATTTTTCGAAAGGATAATTCACCAAAGAATAGATGCAGTAGTTGACCCACTCCTAGCAGACAGTCAGTATGGTTTTTGCAAAGAGCTATCATTTATCTATGCTATAAACTTGGTAGTTAATACAGCCAAGGAAGCTATTACTGGAATCAGATGGAAGGGTTCTGCAAAGAAGTACTGTCTAGTAGCTACATTAGATATCAAAAATGCATTCAATTTCGCAAACTGGGATTGCATTATAAATGCACAGTGACAAGAATGTGCCATGTAGTCGCAAGCTACTTTACAGACAGAGTTCTGATGGACGATCACGCGATGGTACAGAAGAATATAATATAACAGGAGGTGTGCCAAAAATTGCGTAGAATGGCAGGACCCAGTATATATATATTGCCTGAGTGCTTTAAGAGTTGCTTGCTCATTTCTCACAATATTGGAGGAAGCAGTGTGCGTCATTTCAGGAACGCTGCCTCTCTTATAATTATTAGACTTAGCAGAAAAAAGACGGACAATTTACCATCGAACACATCAAGAACTGAGTCCTGAAAAGTTGAGAACAGAAGAACGGCAGAACAGCATTGACCGATGGCAGCAACTGTGGGATATCGCAAGGGCAGATAGACGCATCCTCTCATTCTAAACATCAAAGTCTGGCTAAATCGCAAGCATGCAGAAGTGAATTTTTACACTACGCAAATGCTATCTGGGCACGGCCGTTTTCGAGCCTACCTACACCGCTTCAAGCACGATAGCTCGCCGGATTGCCTATATTGTTTGGGCGAAATTGAAGATGCTGAGCACGTGTTCTTCGTGTGCACGCGATTTGGTACTCTACGGGACGATGTAGAAGAGATGTTGAATCAAATAATTACTCCAGGTAAATTATTAAAAAAAAACTGCAAATCTTTTGATTATCATCCGCACACACACACATCCATTTTTCTAAGGTATGCCAAAATGTTCAAAAACCTCTGAATATAAAAATTTTCATTTTAGATTTTTATGCAATTACTGTAACTTACCCTATGGGAAGTTAGAAAAAAAAAACACACACAGATGCGTTTCTAAATTTGGTCTCATTCGATTCAGATTCAAGAAAACATAACATTAGCAAATTGGATTTTTTGATGAAAACAAACTTCTCCTCTGAGAAGTTGAAAAATATTATTACGTACTACAAATATATGAATTACACATAAAATTTCATAAAACAACTCTGATATGATTTTTACTAGTTTAATTATAAAATGCAACTCATTTCGGTCTATTTCAGAGTTCTATTTTCTTCTCAATCATAAAATATTCGATATTATGTATAAGACCTATAAAACTTAATAGATTATTGTTTATTGTAAATAGCTTAGAAATTTCCACTACAGGATATGGACAATGCAAGGTAAAATCCCTTTATTATTGTAATTTTTATTATTAACTTTTATAATGAATAAATGATATTTAAGTAATTAAATAAAATTACTTATGGACAAATTAGATTATACACAAACCTCTTAAGACCAAATTGGCAATATTGATCTAGATCAGTTGCATTATTAATAATTTAAAATTATTGTAACTTTCTTATGCACTAACAAATAATTATAACAATTGTTGTCATCAAAAATATAGCTCAGGCCAATGTTTGAAGAACCATGTTAGTTGTTTGTAGATATCTTTCATGATTATTGTAAAAAATTATATTAGAAGTTGTACGTGACACATTCTCATATGTTCAATATCTCAGCCAATTGATGAGCTGGAGAGTTTATATCTAATTTTTTTCGAAACTCATAAAATAATGTATAAATCGTTCAATTAATGGGGTAAAGCAATTTTGCATGAAAATACGTTAATAACCTTTGCCCCAGCACTACAATTTTTTTCTAAAAGCATGTTTGTTCTGTAATAAAAAAATAATGTATGCAAAAATTGGTAGAAATAAATTTGTACTAATTCGTCCCACAAGACTGATGAATACAGCATGTTGTTTGAAGACATTCATCCAACAAGTTTAGAAATGGCAGTTAAATATTATAAACCTTCATTCAAATTCAAAAATTTGTACACTTTCTTCTCAAATTACTTCCAAACTGTATTTACTCCCAAGTAAAACCAGATGAGGCATAATATTGTATTAATTCTTTTTGATAATATTAAACTCAATTAATTGGTTAAGTTATAAACCAATTATTAATGGTTTATAAATTAATCCAGATATATATTATTATAAATTCGGAGTCAAACTTAAATCACAGATCCACTCTCCAGTAAAGTTATGTTTGTATGTATATATGTGCAGACAAATAAAATACTTTAAATTGTAATAAAGATTCTTAATTATATAAATTATAATTTATTTTAGTTAAAATTTATTTACAGTTTATTTCACCAACACATTTAGTTCATATCACCATTGTGCAAAATCACTATCAGTAAAGTCTTCCTCTTTAAATTCCCGCAGAGAAGGTGGCAAAAAGTTCATATCTAACATTATTCTTGGTCTAGTCCAAGTAAATACATTTGTATCATCATTTCCATTCTCGTTGTCTATTTGGGTGCTCTCCAGTTGTGAGGTTTCACTTAAACTTTCATTCCCTGATTCAGAACTATTTTTTTGTAAAACTTTTTTGTGCGTTAATTGTTTTGAGGTTTTAATCTTATTCCTTTTCATCAACCATGAGTTTAATAGATCTCGTCCCGATGATTCTGATTTGAATACACGTCGGGCCATACGCTTCCTTTCATGATCATCAGCTGAATCATTGAGCAATGGAGAATATATATGTTAGACTCTTATTGGTTTTCAAAGCAATTTAAAGGTTGCATAAATAAAATAAATAAAAGGTTCCATAAATAAAAATAAATTAATAAAAATGATGATGATTTAAAGCACAAAAACTGATGACAATGTTTTACATTTGACAAGATTTTCTAATTAGTTTCCATATGATGATTCCACAAAAAATGACATGAATTTTGCTAATTGGATTCCAAATGATGATTCCACAGAAAAATGGCAAAAAAATTTCTAATTCATCTCCAAATAATGATACCACAGAAAAATGACATGAATTTATAGTGCACTATAGAAGTTTGTGCAGTAATTTAAACCCGACTAGTAGAAATTCAGCATTAACAGAATTGTGAATTATTTCACTCATAAACTATATAGCATTTTAAACCAATTTAATTGTTTTTGATAAGAAGGTAAATTATAATATAGTATAGTGAGAAATACTTGATACAAAAATATTTCTGCTGTAAGATGATTTCTTTTATCAACTCTCTGATAATTCAAATTGGTTACAGCAAGTATTCAAAGCCAAATTCCATCAAATCCATAATTCAGAAATATAATAAAATTATATTTCTATTTAGTATATATTTCTATGAATAAAAACTATGAATTGTGAATAAAAATCACTATTACATGTTTCTTTTGCCGGGTATCTTAGTATACAAAAGAACAAAGTTTGTAGTTTTGTTTTTTTTAGTGGATGAATTTCAATAATCTATAAATTCATCACTCAATATGCCAGTAAAATTATTTATACTTGGATATATTATATCTTGAATAATTCATAGTTTATATAATCTGAATACTGAAGTGTACATTTCAACTACGAATTATTCAAAATTTCCATATCAAAATATAAATAATTTTATAGACTTATTGAGTGATAACTAGTATAATTTGATAGATAGAAGACTATATAAGATAAATTTAGAAAAACATATCAACAAAAATTGATAGTGGAATGAAATTAAGAAAATAATACATGATTTCAATAAACTCCAATAAAATAATAATGTAAAGAATAAAATATAGTCACAAATATGAAATTCTATAATCCCAAAAACCAGGTAAAAATAAAATGAAGTTAATGAAATGAAACATAATAACCCAACATACCGATTCTTCTTAAATTGTCCAGTTCAGGAGGTGAATAATGTGTGAACCTACAAGATGCTCCAAAATTACAATGCATACCATTTAAAAATCTTACACATGGTTGTTTAGCTGATTCTTGTTGTATTATATCTCTTATATCTGAAAATAATAAAGAACAATAAGATAATGGTAAAGAACAATTGAATGGTTTGTTTTTAAATTAACAATTACATTCTAAATATGCTATATTAAAGTAATAATAAGAACAGTATTGATGAAACTATAAAATCAATAATATTTCAGTAAATTATCATTCTTACTTATTTACTTATTTTAATGTTATTTTCTTTGATCTGTTTATACAAAGCAATGAGTAGAGACTGTTAACAATATTGTATATTAAAAAGAAACATTATGATTATTTATTAGCAGTTGTGCCCAGCGAAAAATCTATAGTATATAATAATGATAATTATAGTATAGTAATATAATAACTATAATTATGATATTATGTGATGCAAGCGAACATATCTTCTCTGAACAATTTAATTTGAAATGTTTAAGGCAAATGTATGAAAAATTTATTTAAAATTCAGTCGTAAAACTATATATGTTCTAAAAAAGATTATAGTTAATTTTGTATATAACTATCATGTCAAATTTTCAATCATCCCAATCCCAAAGAAAAGACAAACATGCCTTGTCAGACTGAACAATAATCTTTAATTGTATAGTATCTTGAAGAGTTGACGATGCTCAGTTATCTTTCTGGCACCGTTAATAACTTTTCTAAAATGTTGTATGAATTACTAAGACTTTATATAAATTGCTACAATGAATACACAAAAAGTCAAAAATTAAATCAATTCCAATTAATAAAAAAAATGATATTTATATATCCTGACAGCAATTATCGTCTTATTACATTGGATGACAAGATACTTAAAAATTTAATTATGATTACAAAAATACACTTTTAAAAGTAGTTTGGAAATTATGCAAGGGATATATTCAATATAATCTAAATTAGATTATGCTAAATTTATTGTATATATGTTGATAATTTTATAACTTGCCTCTGTGTAATAATAAATATTCATTCTTAGCACGATTGTGTGCAAATCCATTCAAATGAGTTTTTCGTTTGGTGCCATCATCTTTAAACGAAATGTTGCAATAATCACAGTGATATTTTGCATTCATGATGAAATTGTACTTTAATTATGTTAATATTATTATAATTTATTTAAAAATACATGTCACTTGATTATATTTTTTTACTAGCCGTATTTATAATATTTATCAATTGTTAGGTTATGTAGTTGTAAACACTACGAATTATTGTCTGATCAATGAACGTCAAACAACACAACCCAAATGTCAAACAGCAACTTCACGCGTATGATTTGTCTGTATAAGCCACTGTCGCCAACATAAAAATAACCTACAAAAAGATAAGATTCAAACCGTTAACTTTTGAAATAACAAATTTATTCTATTGTTTACTTATAATCAGAATCTTATGATTGCATATATCACTTGAACAAATTTTATAAATTGAATTATTTACTATTTAATTATCAATATATATCATGGTTTTCTTAATATTTGATTTATTAATTTGTTAAAGATTATTAAATATGTTTTATATTAAATATATTGAGATTCATTTTTCGATTTGTTATCATCATATTAAAAACTGACAAAAATAGTTTTTCATAGTGATTTTTGGATAGCCCGGTTTTTTCATATAAAAGTGAATGTTTCAAGTTACAAGATTTTTTATGAAACGTATCCATGTAAAACGAGAGATATGTGTTTTTTGTATAGCGAATTAATGCATTAAAGAATCTCAGACTGGGTCTTTTGTCTGGGTATGTCGGACTCAATACCGCCTGGGTATAATACCGACTAAAACCTCTGCTTTCCCTTGTCCCTGGTTTCTACAGAAACCGTCGTTAGGCATTAGTTCGTAGGGGAGGAGGATCTAGAATATTAGAATTCTCGCACTGAAATTATAATTATCTTTTAGATGAGCGAAGTCCTGGTCGCTCTTTCTCTTTGGTGTATTTTCAATAATTTGGTATACGGTTTGTATTGCAAGATGTCATAAATTATTACCAAAAGATTTGATTGCTAAGCTAACTTTGTATTAAATATTTATACAAATGCAATATTTTCAACAAATGCAATCCCTGACTGTCTTCCATCTGCACAAATATTTAATACATTAAATATTGATTTAAAATGGGTGCTAAGTTTACAAAGCATATATTTTAACATTGGTTATTTAAAATCATTTTATTTTTATTTGATTTAAATACCTCATTTTATTATTAATCTTTTTATTGTCAATATATGCATTGCTTATGTTTATACTTTCAATGTACACATCGCCCGCGTCGAATAAATATTTGTTCACCCATTAGGCCGACTTTGAAAAATAAGTTTGGCAAATTGAATTAATATTTTAGTCTAGAATATTCGGAAATCACCTGATCACACCGAACGAATGAAAGTATGACGCATACTTTGTAATTTGATTAATTGCCAAATATTTGGCCTTTTGGCAATGATTGTAAAATGATCGATTGTCTGATATTTGTTTTAAGAAAAAAAAGAAGATATACATACATAAATGAATTATTAATTTACGCATTAAATAATTAACATTATTAACTTCTTGACCAAGTTTGTGTTTTCGATAGAAAATCTTATTTGCAAATTTCAAAAAATTTAAAGACTCTATAAAATCGCGTTGATTAGTTTTGCAAGACTATCGGCTGAGTCATTCTTTAAAAAAAATATTAGGCGTGCAAATTTATCAGAAAATCCTGAACCGACTTTGAAAATTCATAAAGAAATTGGAATTCAGGGTAATTAGTTTTTTGTAAAGATCAGCAAGACAGTAATAGCGTAATTAATTGTTGAATTTTTTTTGATGATGTGAAACTTTTCACAGTGAAAGAGTAGTATAGTTTTATTACGAAAATGATAACATTCAACCCTTTCGACTCGGATGCAACCGCTCCGGCGGCAAAATTCATTCATATAAATCTCGGAATTCGCGAGTGAAAAGGGTTAAATTTATAATAATAAAATTGCGATAAAACAGACCACAACATAGAGTTGATATGGCAACAGTATGTCACGATATTTTCTTTAAATAAATTGGTAGTAAAAACTGTCAAAATGCTATATATTTGCATTTATAACACATACGTGAAGTAAATTTTATGTGTAAAACGCCTGCTCGCACAACAAATACATTTGATAGTTTTTAGTACCATTTTATATGAAGAAATGAGCGTAACATAGCGTTGCCATAACAACGCTAACCGTAAAAACATTAATTCCTTTATTCGTTTTATCAAGTCCTGCATCCAAATATTTGTAGCATTCACACACGTTGTACGAAAACCAGAATTTGATAAAATAATTATTTCAAAATTTGAGTATAAACAATTGCATTTTGAACCCGTTTTTTAATTTCCGTTACCATGACTTGGCAGCTTTGTTTCGCTTCCGACTTCAGAGATGTCGCTATACTAACATTTAAAAATAGACATACGTCTGCGATTATCGTCTGCAGAACGTTCTAGTATCATCGCGACGTACGTCAATACTTCAGTCGTCAAATAGAGACAAAAGAGTGTCAAAGTCAAAAAGTCGATCGAATTTTTTTACAAACAATAAAATTATATATTTTGAGAAATTCTTTATTAAAAAAAAATAAAACAAAATGCCCCGTCGAGGAAGGTCTGCTAGCCCCCCACCAGCACCAAGACGGTAAGTTTTTCACTCCTTAATTATATTTTGTAACCTTAAAATATGTGTCTCTAGTTGCTAACATGCCGTCAATAATTCACTGTTACATAACCATTTAGTATTGCGTAAATTAATAGTTCCTCAAAACTTGAATTTATTTATATTGTTTTCAGAAACTAATTAAGGAAAATTACCCAAAGAGTTCAATGTTTTCGGCCGAAGGCAAATTGCATCACATTGAGCAATGCCATGGTCAAACTTTGAATTGAACATTTCTCATTAAACAACAATAATTTAATTGAGATTTTCTTGATTTAATATTATTATAGTAGATTTACATAAATTTATAAGCCATTCTTTGAGTTTTTTTATTTGTAACCCACCATCATTTTTTTTTTTGCTTTTAGCAACTGATTTCTTTGTTCTTTTCTTCTACTAAATCTGATTTTACCAACTCTAATTGTTCTAGTGCTTTTCTTTTCACTTCTAATTCTTCAAATTTTACTCAATTCAATTTCTATTTAATTTTAAATTAACTATTTTACCAAATACTACTCACTTATTATTTCTATGCAATAAACAATTCAAATTCTATTCAACTGAGCTATTCCTACCGCAATGTCACACATCACTTTCTCAATATACTTTTTAATAAGTTTATATGATTTTCCTTATATACATATAAATAAAATTGATGCTATTGATTTGTAGTTATTAGTCACTATTACTTTTAATGTATTAATTTATAATTTTCATATTGTGTGCTGGCTGGTGTTATTTGCAAATTATTTATAAACATCTGAATGGAAATGAATGATTGTCTGTTTGCTCCTGGTTTGTATGAATAAATAATCTTGGATATGTATGGTAATACTGTATATATTTTATTGCTAATATATATTTTGTATACTTCTTATTTGTAAATCATTTATCTTTACATATGCGTCTAAAATGATTTGTATTAACAAAACTTATCTATTGAATATTATAAAAAACATAAATATTTTCTAATTTCTCAATGTAACTTCCTTAATTTATAAATCATTTTCTTGTTTGATATAAACATTAACACTATATATTTGAAATATTTTAAAACATATTTACCAATTTCTCAATGCAAACCTTGTGTGATTATAATTTTAATATAAATATTTCTTACCTTCAATACTTCATTTTCCCTCACAAATACCTGCGTGCCCACGTTATGTCCATATTTTTAATTACAAAATAGTAATAATTCAACTTTCGCTTCTCCCAAACCTCATAACAGTGCTGCCTCATCGAATTTGCCAGCAAGGGCCCCTCCAGCAGCCCCGCCAGCCCATGCACCTGCAGCCGCTACACCCATGCAGGCCCAACAACAGCCATCTATGTTCCAGCAGATGGCTGCAACAGCTGGAGGAGTCGCTGTTGGATCCGCTGTGGTAAGTTAATAGTTACCATAATTGCTAGATTGCTAGAAGCCCCAGAAGTAATAAATCTTAGTAAATAAAATGTTTCATGTTAATTCTCTAAATATTTCATAATGGATTTTGGATTTTAAATTAACATTCCTTGGGGGTAATATTTGAAATTTTATACTGTTTTCTCAAAATCCAAGAATGGTGTCAGTCTTGCAGTATTATACAATTTATTAGGTAAAGTTAGATAAATCAAATTTCACATTTAATTAAATTAAATTCAAATTTGCTTTTCAAATGAACCTTTTACTACAGTTGGTACATATAGGTACCAAGTTGAAAATATCTGGACACTTATTTTTGTGCATAAAAGCAAAGCCTATATGTCCAGAAATTGAAAACAAAACTGAATTATGTTATTAAACATTTTTTTAAGACTTCCATATGTTTCAAGTCCCAATTTGACTCTTCTTTAGTGGATGAACCTACAAAATATAAATATAATATTAATAAATATTAAAATTTATTGAATTAATAACAAAATTTTTATATTACAAAATTATTAAGTCAAGACTAATGTTGACAAAATTATACAAGTAGTATCTTAACTAATCTGTTATATAAAATTGTCCATTCTACAAAAAAAAAGTTCTACAACCTCTATTCTCCCAGGGTCATGTAGTAGGAGCCGGTATAACTGGTCTCTTCTCTGGTGGTTCCTCCAGTGAAGCAGCACCTGCACAAGCCCCTCAACAATTGCAACAACAAGCTGCTGCTTACCAAGGCCAAGAACCTACTGGACCTTGCGCATGGGAAATCAAACAATTCTTGCAATGCGCACAAGGACAATCTGATTTGACTTTGTGCGAAGGATTCAATGAGGCATTGAGACAATGCAAGACAGCTCATAGTATGTAATTGGAATAAAATTAAAAGCAAAAAGTGATGGTATTGTAGTAGTGACAAAACTGAACTGTGAGCACTTGTAGATAAATATGTATTGAAATTTATGAAAGGTTTGATATTTTTCTGTTTCTGTACAGTAATTTCTAAAAATATTGTTTATTTTTAATAATAAATTATCAATCCAATTTTTTGCTCTGTAAATTTAATAAATTGTTATTTGGCTTTGTTTACAGTTCCAATAGCATTGATGAAATTAATGAACAATAAATGAATCATTCATTAGTATTTCAAGAGTTTTTCTTACATGTAAATATTCTATGTTGAATGTATCTTAACAGATTTTGTGCAATTAAATTTAACATTTGAAGACTATCAACATTTTATGTGCCAGTGCTCCTAATAAATAGTTAATATTAGTTCATATTTTAGAATCAATTTAAGTTTACTTGTAAAATAGATGCAGTATATAATATAAATAGGGGTGTGCATTTTAAAGTTTGCATTGTAAAACCAAATACTTCTCATATTCTGATGCAAATACTTCAATAATTTGTTATTGTTGCAATAAGCACCCAAAACTGTTGTAAATGAAGTTGCATGATGTGTTAAAAATATCAACGAATATTCAACAACATAAGTCAAGAATGAAATGTAATTTCTGTATATATAGGTCTGCATATGATTTGTTTGTTACGATGTGAAATTTCAATAAATTGTTGACTTCGTTGAATACACTGTTTCATTATTTCCATTACCAAATATTAATCTTGCAATATAAAGAAATTTCAGAATACACAAACATTTGCTTTACATTATTTCACAAACCTCAGGTTTGTTTTTATATAAATTCACCTGAAAGATTCTAATTTATCATAATTTTTAAAGCCAAACAATTTTACAATTAAGATTTTTACTACTGAAATAATATATTGATATCTCATACTATGATTTTTCAGATCTGCCGTAATCACTACAATATCAATTGAAATTTGAAGAATGAATATGTCCGTCCTTCGGTCGCGAAAAAGCAATAAAAAGTTTAAAACCGTCTTCTCATACAGCTGTTTTTAATATTTTTAATTTAAAAAGTCAAGAGGAAATATCACAGTTGTACAATTTTACACACAATTCACACAATAAAATGTATTTGAATATATAGAATCTAATAAATCCAATTTTACTTTTCGAAAGAAATCAGTTTTTAATTGGGTAATAAGGCACATTGCGATTTCATTTATCCTTTATGGGAAAATGAATTTCTAGGATATTAGAAAAAAGATCCTGAGTTAGGTATATTTTTTTTGGGTAACTTCCTGAAGAGGTTTGTTTTTGCCATAAGATTTGCTGATTTTATATTTTCTCGACAATTTAAGTAATCAAAAAATCGTTTAATATTAGAATAAAAAAAGTATGTATGTGTGTAAGCCAAAATTTAAAATTACACCGACGTTTTTTTAAAAACAACTGCACTCATTTTGTTAACACCTTACTCAACCCTGGTCTAATGGAATAATATTATTATATTTTATTACCTCCATACAGGATAGCTATAATAAACCCTTATACCTTATTATATAATTTAAAAATATTAAATAATCCCTCTCATTGTCAGGCATCCTGTCCCTAAATCTATCATCATACCATTAATTCCACGTACCATGGAATCACCGGTTGATACCTGATTGGTCAAAAATGTAATGGGATGTTGCTTGAACCCACAAAAACGAACCAATCAGAAAAATCATATAAAATTGTAAAATCATTATAATTTAGTATTAAATCAAATATCATCTAAGTAAAATCAACACTCAAAGGAGTAATATCTCAAATCATCTAACAAATCAGTACTAATTCAAACTTCAACTAAGTAACATATCATTTATGTCTTATTGTAGTACTTCATTCAAATATACAGCAGTTAAACATCTATTTATCATCTTTTAATGGGTCTGATATATATTTTTTTATAATTAGCAGATAATTGCAAAAAATACGTTTACGCAAAAAATCGTGTAGTGTTTATAAAAATTCGAAAACTATTAGTTGTAAATTTCGGTTTCTTCGTAATAAATGTTAAATTAGTTTTTAGTGAAAATCGGACAGGCCGTTTTTTCAAAATTAAATGTTGAAAACTTTTCATTGTTTTGTATAACATTGTGAAATATTACATCTATGAAAAGTGGTTTTATAATGAAAATTCAATAAAATTTGAAACAATGGGTTTTAAGACTTACATTGAGTAGTTTTTAAATAGTTAATAAACAGAATAAACAGTTACTAGTTAATAAACAGTTAATTCTTAACTCTTATTGATTAAGTCAGTTTTTTACATGAAGTTCACGTTACTTGCCTAAGGTATTTACACCTTAGTTTGTATTCTTTCAGAGCAAAATTCTATTAATGGAAAATCTTTTGCAATTATAATAAATATAATCAATAAAGGCGATTGAAAGATTTTGAAAAATCCATAGTAATTCTAAAAATGAAAGCAAATTTTTAAAGAATTAAGTAGATCGCTCAGCTCAATTAATTACCAAGAAACTTTTATATAAATTTTAATTATATCTACAGGTCCACTGAAAATAATCAAGAGATCTATTGATATATATATATATATATATGTATATATATATATATATATATATATATGTAGGTTGCCAACACGCATCGCGGCTTGTCAAACGCATCACATGTTACTGGACAGATTGGCCCATATTGACAGCACAGAAAAAAAACAAAAATTAATTCAAGTGTCAGATCGGACAATTTTGTTTCTCCCTAGTCGAATTTGCCAAAAATGTATAATTCTTGAAACCTTTCTTTTCGATAAATAAGAAAATACCAATCACATTTTATTAACGATAATATGACAACACATAGTGTCGTGGATATTAATCATACATAAAATAAACCAAATATATAATATTTTATATTATGATACAATTGGTATTAATATGGACCAAGCCTCCATATATATATATATATATATAAATCATAAAGCGCTTTATATATTTGTAGGACGACTATACAATCAGTATGTATTTCTGGACATGAAATTTATATTGTTACAATCTCGATTACAATACATGTTATTTAATTCTATATTAAGATAAATTTACCTTCAATTCAAATTTAATTACTAATCGTTTTCATAATATAAAATGTCTGTGATGCATATACACACATAATATGTATATATACATACATATGTGTATATGCGTTTTTTTAAGTATATCATACAGATATGTATGGGTATATTTTTCAAAAGCTAAAATTGTGTGTCACGATTTCTTGTGTGCTATTATCCAATATTAAAATTTTATTTTCATTTACAAAAAGACATGTATATAACCAATACATACATTTACGTTCGTATCATGGTTTTACATAATTCATAAATGCTTTTTTCCAAGAGCTTTGAATAATTTGATTGAAAGTTAATATAAATATGCATACTTATTGCTACTATTTATGGCAGTTTGTGAAACCAATAATATTCTTATTATGTAGTTTTATTTGCAAATGTGAACATATATATGTATGTATGAATTATATGCAAATAATTTGGATAAATGGCAATATAAATAGTGAATCTACTTATTCATACAATGTTTATGTAGATACATATATATATATATATATATATATATATATATATATATTTATATATATAAATACATTCATCTACATATAAAAATCTCATTTCTTAGTGTTCATGTAAATACTTTGGTTAATTATTCTAAACATATGCACATATGCCGATATAAGTACCGATAGATGTATTTTTATACAGATACATACATACTTATATATATATATATATATATATATATATATTCAATAGATAAGTCCTGGATTTTTTCAATATATTGATTGTTTCTTTTCCGAACATATATATATATATATATATATATATATATATATATATATATATATATACATCTGTCGGGAAACATGATCTTGATAAGATTTAAACAAACAATATATTTAAGAGAAGTAGAAAATGGTTGATTTTTTATATAAAATGGACAAAATTGTGGAAGAAATAGCATTACAGAAATATGACAATAAAATCAAAATAAAAATAATAAACTTCTTTGTTTTCATTACTTTTGGATTCTTTGTTCAAAGCTTTACAAAATATTTACAAATTTCTTCTTGAAATTCATCCGTTCAATAATCAGTTTGTTACCAAATAGTCATCCCATAACACCAAGGAAATTAATACTTTTTGTCTCACATAACAAACACAAAAAATTTTGAATTAGAAAATTTGTTTCTTCGTTTGAATTTTTTTTTATAAAATCACTTTGATAAAATCTTTTTTAGTGAAAAAGATTTAGTGTATAATCAATCATACAGGTAATTAATTCTGTTTATTCTTAAAACTTTCTAATTTTTTAACATTTCTAATATTTTTTATATAATCCACTCATTTATTTTTATTATTTTCATTTTGATTATATTGTCATAATTTTGTAATGTTATTAATGTAGTATAATGATTTCATATAAGGAATAAAGAGTTATATTAAATCAAATCACTTTCTCCCTGGACAAAAATCAGGATCACTTTAGGAATGTTCACTTAAGTGGGTATTTTAGTCTAGAGAGTTTTGAAGAAAGTCAATTTTTTTAATTTACGAACTTTAACTATTCCAGAATATGTGTATAAGAGGGTTTTTTAAAATTTGAATTGTTTTCGGAGATATAGCCATTTGACCACAATAATTCTGCTGTTTCCTTCCTACGCAAAACTTTAAACTCGTTTCACTCAAAACCGTTTTTTTTTTTTCAATACTATACCCACGATTTCTCAATTCTTAAATAACTCTTCTTCATTATGATTTACGTTCAGCCCTAAATTCCGCATTATACTATTTTTAAAAAAATCGAGAATATAAAAAAAAAAAATTGTAAAAAAAAATACTTTTTTTCAGACAGTGGCTATTTTGTGATAAACATTTTTTAACCTGTCCGTAGTTCATACGAATGCGACATTATTCTAGATCAATATTAATAAAAAAAACTAATATTATAAAGATTATTTAGAGGGCCCAAATCATGAGTTTGATAAGGTGCCAATTTTTGGGGACCACCACTTCATTACATTCTAGAATGTAAACTTTTTGTAATGTAAAATTATTTTGGCTTTTCAAAAATCGCATAAAATTCATGCCTCTACACTAGAATACCCTCTTAAATGAGTGTTAAAAACATTTAAATCTAGTGTGTTTTCAACATCTTGTACTGAAAATAGTAATTAATGAGGAAAATATATTTCTTACATTTTGCACACATTTGTAAGAACATCAATTAGTTTTAGTACATGAAGTAGCACTTAATGCTCTTACCATCCTTGGAAACAGATAATGATCCAAATTATAACATTGAATTCAGTTGTATTGTTTCAAACAACTGAATTAATATACAAACGATAACTGCATTATTCTGAATTCTGAATATTTTATACATTATATATATATATATATATATATATATATATAATGTATTTAAATCACACACCAATATCAATACATATATCTGCATATGTGCTTTTTAAGTTAGGCAGTATTCTTATACTTTTAATTCCGAATGTATACACAGATACATATTTTTATGCATATGTATATATGTATATATATATACATATACACAAGACATGTATAATTTTATTTATGTGCACATATAAGTTTACATGAATATAAATGACAAGTTAGTTTCAAAACGCACGTCGCCTGCTCTCCGCATAAAAATATTTTGTGTGTTCAACTCGTTCGTACTAAACTAACATAAAATTAATCTGTATGTATGTACATATACAAATATATGTCTAAGTTTATGTATACATCATAATATATTTGTATTTATACATATATATGTATGTAAAACTATACGTACGTATTCATATATAGCATTTGGTGTTAAATAATCTCGTAAATAAGTCAATTAATATTTAAATTAAGTAAAAATTAAAATATATCAATGTACAATTAAAATAAAATAAATATTTTACAATATACATTCACAACGGCATACATCACAAACTTTAACAAACTAATTACATAAAAAAATATAAACTTTATCCTAACTAAAACCTAAAAAAAACTAATCTTTCTAAGTATTCATTAAACTTAGTTTTTTACATAACCTCGATTAGACAAGAGTAAACTCAAATTAAAATTTGAAAATAAAATTATATAAACCACGAAAGCAACAAATTAACGCTTGTGTGTACACCTGAATTCAAAACAATCACACACATGCACACGTACACACATATTTCTTAACACGTGTGCTTCTAGATATTTTTTAAACATTATGTACAATACTAAGTCGATAGCCTCAATAAAAAGTTAGATATGTATGTATATAAATATATAATTAAACATATTTATCTATACATACATATGTCATACAATCGGCAAATATAAAATAAATAAAATCTCTTTATTTTTGACTATCATAAAACTCTCGATAAAACTAAATTTTCACATTACATTGTTAAAGTAACAAATAATATTCATATAGCATCCAAAAATTTATTTTATTTTCTTGTCAGAGAACTATCGACAGACATATATATGACATGTTTTTTTCAAACTTCGTAACCGGTATGTCGTAGTTTGCATATCATTGAGAAATGATGAAAAATTGATTTCTTTTTGATCCAGATTTAGGCCATCATTGGTAATAATTGATAATTGAGATAAATTAAAAACCCATACAATTTTTATATGTATAATTTAAACTTGAATTGACTTAAACGCAAATTTATACAAAAATAGCTGCCTCAAGAAGTAAAATATAAAATCTCTATTCAAATAAGAATATAAGCTCTATTGTAATAAGAACATAAACTCTATACAAATTATACAATTAACCGCTACTTGAATAAAATGTAAGCTCTACTGAAATGAGAATATGAACTCCATTCATATGAGCCAGTGATTTCCAACCTATGTGGCGCGCCCCCCTGGGGTGGCGCCATACCGTTACAAGGGGGGCGCGAAGCTGTTTCAAAAATATTATTTTTAAATGCTGAGTAAGTGTCAAAAACAAATCAACAAAATACTTAAAGTACTTCTGTTTGTTTGAGCTCAAAAAAGAAATTGCTATATTTCTTGCTGATAACAAAAGAGACGGAGCAATCTTGTTTTAGGACACAAAGTTCCTCGCAAAATTTGCGTATTTAGTTGATATTTTTCAAAGACTTAGCCATTTAAATAAATCAATGCAAGGATCTCAAATTCGTGCTTTTGTTCAGAAAGACAAGATTACGGCTTTTATGAAAAAGTTAGAACTGTGTATAGCTAGTATCAAATAATTTTATAACTTTAACATGTTTCCCACTTTTAAAATTACTTGTGTTACTGATGAAATAGAAGTAAGTAAAAATAGGACGAAAATATATTGTTAAGTTTTGGTTACCAGTAAAGGACGATTTTGCTACTTTGACAAATAATGCTTTAGAAATTTTATTACCATTTGTGAGATCTTACTTATGTGAAACAGAAAATTCTTATAATAAATAGTTATGTTTGTATATTTTTTATAATACTATGTATTATATGGCATAATTTTAGTTATGTTAAGTATATTTAAATTTTTTTAATTCGAAAGGGGGGCGCAAGGAAGAAAAGGTTGGAAACCGCTGATGTAAGCTCTTCTCGAACAAGAATATAAGCTATAATCAAATAAGAATCTAAACTCTATTCCAAGAAGAATGTAATCTCTATTTCAGAAAGAATATAATCTATATTCAAATAAGAATATAAGCTCTATTCCAGAAGAATACCGTATCTGTTCCACAAATAATACAAACTATATTCCAAAAAGAATATAATCTCTATTCAAATAAGAATATAAGTTCTAATCGAATGAAAATTTATAAGCCCTTCAATATCATTGTTGACTGCGTAGCAAAAAATGCGTAAATTAATTTGTTTATTAATAAATGCACTTACATCTTAGCTACATAGCTATATAGAAATCATTGCACAGCCTAGCACCTTAAGAATACAAATCGTGGGCCCATAACCTTCCAATTTAGAAGAGACAATAAATAAAAGTGAATAGAAAGAAATTCAATAAAGAAGGTCTGGTTGGATCAACATAACTTCCGTATAATGTTGTCCAGATCGAAGAATCAATAAGAAAACTTTCATTTCGTCCATTTCCCAACGCTCCTGCACACGAATCATAGTACGACATCCGGCAATACGATTCTACTAGTAGCGTTGATGTTGTTGTTAGTGTTGTTGCGGAGTTGCGGGACGTGCGCGCTTACCTAAACGCCGCCACTGCTCGTGTTGTTCGCGTTTGTGTTGTTGCCGACATTGTTTGCATGCTGGACGATCTTTCGCTCCTTGTAATAGATCTCTTCGCTCTCTTTGTCGCAGGACAGCAGGATTACTGCTCCGAATAAGAAGATGGCTGCTCCCCAGCCTACACCGTAAGCCCAGCCGAACTCCCAAACGGTGCGGTTACCTATAAATATAATATTTGATCAATACGAAAGCGCAAACCAGGAAAGCAGCGGTCGGGGAACCGGGGTATATTTCCCAAATGAGGTGTAAATGAAATTTTTGGAGGTAAAAAGGGTATATTTTTAATTTATATTTACTGTATTTGCTGCTGCATGGTAGTCCAAATGGAGATAATTTCTTTTCGTCATGGGATAATATCAACTAGAAAAATAATTTGGGGTATGATTGAAAAAGTTCCCCGACCGCTGCTTTAAGGTAACCATACTTTTTATATGAAATTCGTGAGGAAGTGGGTATATAAAAATCATTGCACAGCCTATCACCTTAAGAGTACAAATTGTGGGCCCATAACCTTCCAATTTTCTACTTTTTCGAGGAGACAATAAATATAAGTAAATAAATCACATATGTTTTACAAAAACAAATTGTATTTGAGGGTATAATCAGGTATAATAAAAATCTGTTTTTCCTATAAATCCTTTTTTATCCAAAGTTACTGCGAATGCTATCAAAGCTATGTATATTTTGTTAATCTATAGATTTTTTTTCGATTTTAAGCCTTGTAATTTTTCTGTACAATTTTTTACATATTTAACTTGAAGTGAAGTCAAATAATTAGTATTAATCAACTTAAAAGTATCGCTTTTGGTGTGTTTATTTCAAAAGTTGGTTTTTGTAATTTTGTTAATAGAAGTTCGAAATTATTAAAATGAGTAGCTATTTCAACCTACCTTTTCTCAATTGAATTTAGGCATTTGATATTTTATTTTCAACAACGTATACGTTTCGTATATGTATCATTTTTAACTTCCCGTAGGGTAAGTTATTGTAATGGGCCAATAATCGAAATTCAAACTTTTACATTTCTCGACGTTTTGAAGGTTTCTGAACGTTTTAGCATACCTCAGGAAAAACTGATGTATGTGTGTGTGTGTGTATGTATGTATGGATACAAATTTCCAGACACGTTTTCGGGCGCACGGATCAACCGATTTGAATGGTTCAAAAAACATTCGATTCCTATTGATAGGGAAAAGAGCTGATTAGTTTTTAGCAAAGGCAGGTCCAGCCGTTTCAGAAATACGGAGAAAAGAGTGCAGAAAATAGAAATCGACTTTTTGAGAGAACGGAGTATCCGATTTGAATGATCTAAAAAACATTCAATTAGTAATGATTGGGAGTAGAGTTTATTAGTTTTTGGCAAAGACAGGCCTAGCCATTTCGAAGATACGGAGCTAAATATGTAAAAAATGGCAGTTTTTGAGAGAACTAAGCGTCCGATTTAAATGATTCAAAGAACTTTCTGCTTGTCTTAACAAAATAATTGATTTTGAAAAAAAAAATTGTTCCAACTTTTTTTTTTTTAAATTTTTTGTATATCCAAAATAATTTAATTTTTTTTTTAATTCTGACTGAAGTTATAATATACTTTACAAATAATTTCAACTTTTCAATGCAGTTTATATAATTCTTATAAATATTAGACAATGTTACAATATTTATAATAATCTATTTGAAAACAGTATTCCTCGAACATTTCGTTACGATTCAATTTTTACTAATGTATCTACTTTTAAAAATTTCGAAACAATCCAGGTCAAAATTCTATATCATTTTAGAAAAATCTGCGAAGCAAGGTGGATATGTGGAACCAAAGTGGTCATATGTGGTCAGGAATCAAAGTGAGACGTATGGTTATCTGAATTACTAATATAATTACTTACAAATAAGTCTAAATTATTATAAATGATTTAATGCCAAATTAATCCACAAACACTTGCACCTCACCCTCACCCACACAGATTTTAATTGACTTTGATTTTTGAATTTTGAACTTCCAATTTTAATTGAATTGAATTGGGAAATACATCAACGTTTTTACATACACATATATTATTTGATTTTTCAGAACCAATGGCTTCCCTTTTCCAAACAATTTTTCATGTTTATTCTATATCATTTTTATCAGGTTATATAAAAAAAACTGTTGAATCTAACTTAGAAATAACAACAAATTCAAGTATCATAAAAAAACTACCAACGAAAAAAATACTATTGATATAAAAATTAATACATAGTATCGTTATAGAATGATATGCTTTAATTGTTTTTGAGATAATGGCAGTAAACCCTTTAACCCGCTTTTTAGGTCCATTTCTACCCTATATGAGAAATTACTCCATAAACAAAATGCCTCATCACTACAGAACTAAATTGAAGTAGTTGTTACTCCAATTGGCAGAGTAGAAAGGAGATGATGGAGACCAGTGTTGATTAAAATAATTTGAATACCCATCAAATATGACTTAATTACAATATCAATAACATAAAACACAAGTTTTACAATATATATATATATATTATATAATGGAAATGATTCTACTTACCGAAGTTGAGTTCGGCGGCAAAGCATACTGGGTATATTATCAGCGCGATTAAAATGGAAATCACTAGACAAGAAAAATTACATTAGTAAGATATTTCAAAAAACAAAATTTTGATTTCAAAAACTTACATGCAAGTAGCATGACCAGGACAGCTACACGGTAATATTTATATTTTGCTCTATGGTCATCTGATCTCAGACCTAGGCCAGTCAGAAGTGTTCCAACGGCATCTGCCAGTAATGTTACTACACATAGAGCAGCAGATGCTTGAATGTAAGCTAGAAATAAAAAAAAGAAACATTGAAATTATACGGAACATTTCTAATTCAAGTGGAGTATATTTTGTTGTATAATGACAAAGTTTCATGATCATCAATAGCTTTTAAAGTTCTAATAATAATGTTTCACTTTTAAATCATGTTTAAACCATCTAAATCACTTTTCGTCCACGATTTCGAGAGCACGAAATTTTATTGATTCGATGATCGATTTTTTATTGTTCACTTCTATTAGCATTAAGATGTTTGATATTCTTAATATAATTGTGTTCAATAAGTATCCCTAAAGATTTTCCTTTATTTTCCAATTTATATTTATACAAAAAGATGCATCCATTGATCATAGTTTTGATGTGCTTGTAATCGTTGACTAAGTTCAGATAAAAAAAATCTTACCGACATCCCTGGCAGGATAACAACCAGGTCCGTCGTCATCTGGGACATTGAAGGGTAAGGGCGTTGTCGCTCCTGCTTCTATGCAGTGGACAAACAGGCCTTGCCGCCATCCCTCCGACATCAGCCAATCCGTTGAGGCCAAAGACATGACCATCAACACTAGGACGATGCCTCCACATATTAATGCTATCACCTGGAATGATAATTGGAATTAAAAAAATTTTATAATCGCTGAAGATCATTATTAATGTATTGTTATTATATTAATATACTTTTAACAGCGGTACGAGGCTTTTTCCTCAGGGGTGACACTGCCCTAAGAGCCAGCCAGCCGACCAAGTATTTTGCACAAATTATTTAAAGATTTTCCAATCATTATGAACAAGAATATTTTAAAAAACTAGTAATCATACTTGTTAAGAATTCGTTATTAATTATATTATTTTTATTTTATGTTCATTGTTTAGTTTAAGTGAGCACAGGATGCACATGCAAATATAATTTTCCATAATAATATCATAGTTTAATTAAATACGCATTCATTTTTATTAACTTCCCGTAGGGTAAGTATTTGTAATGGGCCGAAAATCGGAATTGAAAATTTTTACATTTCTCGACGTTTTGAAGGTTTTGTGAACATTTTGGCATACCTCAGAAAATAGATAGTGTGTGTGTGTGTGTGTATGTGTGTTGTGTGTATGTATGTGTGGATACAAATTTCCAGTCACGTTTTAGGGCGCACGGATCACCGATTTGAATGGTTCAAAAAACATTCGATTCCTATTGATAGGGAAAAGAGCTGATTAGTTTTTGGCAAAGGCAGGTCCAGCCATTTCGGAGATACGGAGCAAAAGAGTGCGGAAAATAGAAATCGAATTTTTGAGAGAACGGAGTATCCGATTTGAATGATCTAAAAAACATTCAATTAGTAATGATTGGGAGAAGTGTTTATTAGTTTTTGGCAAAGGCAGGCCCAGCCATTTCGAAGATACGGAGCTAAATATGTAAAAAATGGCAGTTTTTGAGAGAAACTAAGCGTCCGATTGAATGATTCAAAAAACTTTCTGCTTGTCTAACAAAATAATTGATTTTGGAAAAAAAAAATTTTGTTCCATTTTTTTTTTTTTTTTTTAGTTTTTTGTTGAAACAAATAATTTCAACTTTGCAATTCAGTTTATTAATTCTTATAAATATTAGACAATGTTACAATATTTATAATAATCTATTTGAAAACATTCAGTAATCCTCGAACATTTCGTTACGGTACGGGAAGTTCAGCAATTTGCTTAAGGCACGATGCCACCCACCCCACTAGTTATTAATGTAGCCTTACTATAACCCCATGTACCGTTCTAAGAAATTGTACCAAATTGTCGGATTATAGAAAAATTCCAAATTTATAGTTGTATTAGTATATTTGTGAACTCCCCCCCTTTCCTGGCAATTTTAATAATTTTTATATTACATTTTTAAGTTTATAAATTCAGTATTCAGTTAGTCGTGATACTAGGCACATCAATCCTAGCGCGTAAAAATTACTCAATCATTTAATAAAAATTTTCTATTTTTATGTCTATTGTTGTTTTTTCATTCTTCCAATAATTACATGGCAAGCAAGTGTTTATAAGTGTAGTAATTAATTTTATATATCTACGCCTTAGCAATACTTCTGAAAATTAACAATTAAAATAAAAAGAGAATTCTCAATAATTAACGCAGTTTTGAAAATTGAAGTAAAGTAGATACACTGAATGTCGTCTAAAAGCGATAAAGATTGAAGCTATAGTTGATATACTGAATGTCGTCTAAAGGCGACACTTGTAAATGGGTATAGCAAGATATCACCTGTATTTATTTTTTACCTGAATTAAAAAAAAAAAAAGTTTACAATTTTTTCTCGTAACTAAAGATACACGTAATGTTTGGTGGAGAAAGGGAGTAATTTTGAATATTAACAAGTATCACAAAGGAGGAGGGGGTCCAAAAATCCGTGAAAAATCGATCACGTGCTCAGAGGATGTCTCCTAATATGGCGACCAATAATATAAAAGATATGATAAATTGTGAATTGGTTTTAATGATTTGAGGATATGACAGAAAAAACATATTTGATTGAAATCAAGAGTTTTATGAAGATTTTTTTTGAAAACATCTTTAGGCGCGACCACTGTGTAAACCCGTACGAATGCAAGGAAAGTGTGTTACGGCAGATAAGAGTCGATAAAATAAGAGTCGAGTGCAATGATTCGTCATCGCTCTCGATGATATCATTTCTATACGGGTCAATTGTGATTAGTCGTCGCGTATGTGAATAGAGATCTGTCGTGTATGCAGAACGGCATCAGCGTTGAATGCGTACCGATACCAACAAGGAAATCGGCAAAAATCAATAAACATTTTGAAAGTACATCGTAGTACTAATCTTGATTTAATGAAAAATGCCTAAATCAGAAAAATGCCTAAATCAGAAGAATATTTTACCCTATTCCTTGAAAATAATGAAACAGATTGAACATTGTTTCGTGAACTAAATGTAAGATTATTGATTAGAAATATTTGTATATTATTCGTAGTTCTGTAAATCTTTGAAGTTATTAAAGTGGAAATATTTTCGGCAGCAAGACATATATTACAGCTGTTAAAAGAATGAGATTATATCGTCAGCAAAAAAGTAAAAAAAACAAGCAGTCAATGAATGTATGTGAATTTTAATTACATAAAGTTCTTCAAACAATTGCATGATGAGTAAAAATTGCAAAAACCAATACTTTTTTAGGCGTTGTTTAACATAATCCACTGTATAACAAATATAGAATTTATTAATCAGCAATTACTTAATTTCTCCAATAAAGGTTCATTTCTAAATGCTAATTACAATGACAAACCGATCATGTCATATTTGAAGTATGACTTTAATTACATTATTGTTTTTAATATTTTTAATACTATATGAATATATAATTTATAATTTATCATTATATAAATGTGTGTATGATGGGACACCAATAAATATGTTCATCACGAGGTTACCATATTACTAATAAACATTATCCAAATTGTTATATGATTGTATTATTTTACTTAAATACCATGTTGTACAGTAACAATAAGTTTTACTTCAATCGCGTGTGAACCTTACGCGCACTCTTTTTTATTGATTTTTCAACAGTTTATATAAGGATAAGACAAAATGGAACAAAAGCTAAATTAAAAAACCAATATTATTTACTTTTAGAAAGACTTCTGTAAAATAGGTCTGACTGCTACGTATTGAACTGGTAAGTTTATATAAACATATTGCAAAAAATAAAACAGTCGGTAATACAAACCAAAAGCTATACTAAAAACTATTTTCCAACTTTCACATTTAAAGCTGATTTTTTTTTAGGAGACTAAAGTTCTGGGAAAGATCTCTGACAATACGGAAAAACCGTTCATTCAGAGCTATGATATGAACTGGCAAGTTTATATAAATACTTGTAAAAAAAATAATTAGTCGATAACAAAACCTATATTGAAATCTTTTACAAAAATATCTAATTAGGGAGCGACCATTTATCACGTGAGGTTTTTTAGAGAAAAGGGGGTGGGGGGACATTTCCCATAAATGTAAATTTGGGTTTTATTGAAACACACTTTGTAATTCAATAATTTATTCACTTATTAGTAAGATTTTATAATATTATTTTAGTTTACTTTGACTGGTTTCGCGAGTCGGGCGGTTAATTATAATAACAAACTTAAAGGAATTATGACTGCTTTCGCTCGTCAAGCGGGTACTTTATGTGCTTTCTTGGTGACGCTTAAAGTTGT